CCCACAAGGATGCTGTGGCCACCCATGGAAAGTGGATCTGTTCCCACAGACCAGGACCCCTGGGGCAGGTAGGACCTGATCTTAGCCTGAGGACAAGTGCCACCAGGCTCTACACACATCCACCTACGAGACCCCCATGCCCTGCTGGAGAGGTGCCGTCAGAGAGGAATTCTGGACCCAACCTCCGGCCAGGACACCAGAGGCCACAGAAAGAAGAGGTTTCTCTTTAAAGCTGCGCGGGGGACACTGTCCTACAGGCGGGGCTTGACTCCCAGCTGCTGGGCTCCGGAACACTGGCCCCTCAGAAGTGGTGGAACAAGGCCTGGACGGAGCAGGCTGGGCTCTGAGAGGCGGCCAGCCTGGCACAATCTCTGCTTTGTCCCTGGAGCCTCAGTCCCAGCCCAGCCTCCATCCTGTCCAGAGCCCAGGTCAGCCTAACCAGCCGGCTTTCCTGGGGTGAGGCCTTGGGGAGGCCTGCGGGCAGCTTGGCCACCTTGGGCTGGAACCTGGGCCTAGAGCCAAGCACACAGAGGCCTACCCCTGACCCCACCACCTGCAGGCACCAGGACGTTCTGGCACCCTCAACTCCCTGCAGAGTATAGGACAACAGGAGAGACRGCCAGCAGCCCCGGACAGATGCCCCTGCTGCCCACTACCACACGACAGTTGTGCCTGGCCYAGACACCATCCAGCCTGGGAGCCTCACAAAAGTTCCATGGAAACCCATTCCACAGATCGGGGTCCTGAGGCTCAAAGCCCCTCTGCTGCCTGGTGGCCAGAGCCCAGGAGGACCATGCACAGACGCCAGGCCAGTGAGACAGAACCACTCACCAAGCCGCAGTGACCCCAGGGTCTGCACACAGAGGTGCGGCCTCCAGAGGCAGCCTCACTGTCCCCTGGTACCGTCCAAGGAGAGTCACCAGGTCTCAACTGCTCCTGTGGAGCACTAGCCACAGACTTCCCAGCCACTGGGGCTGCACTCAGTGTTGCCCGTCTGCTGCGAAGAGAAGGAGCCAAGCCAGGGCAGGGTCCGTGGCCAGCAGAGGACACTGTTGCTGCCTGCCCACCCTGCACTAACACTAGGAGAGAAACCAGGACAGACAGTAGGGCACCGGGCCCACCCCACTGGGGCCCACACTCAGGAGCAGGCCAGGGCCAGCTGCAGGACAAGCAGCAGGCAGCYCTAGTGCCCTGAAGTACAGTCCTTGCTGGCCTTGAGGTGGCTGCTTGGGGAGAGGAGCCGGCCACATGGGCAGATCAGGAGTCCCCACACCAGTGACAACCAGCACAACACGTGGCCACCCTGTGAGCACTCCGGGCAGGCAGGGAAGGGGCAGGACGCAGGAGCCTGCTGGCACCTGCGCAGTGGCACCTCAGTGGTCCCAGCTGGGCTCCCCCTGAGCCTAGGTGAGGATCTGTCAGAAACAGACTCCCCAGGGGGCTGGTGAAGGGCGGCCAAGCTTCCCATGGCAGGGAGGGCCAGCCAGGCAGCTGCGTAGGCCATGTGCGCGGCAGTCTAGACCAGCCCCACCTGGGCGATGTCAGGGCAGAGGCCAGCCACAGCCCACCCTGGAACAGCAGCCCTGCAGGGGCCTGCCACACCAGTGTCCTCACGGGGTCAGGCAGCGCCTACTCAGCCAGCACTTCAGGACCCGCCTCAGTGTGGGCACCCGGGCCAGGGCTTCTGCCCAGCATGCCTTTCCAGCACAAGTGGTCCCTGCCCCTGCAGGCGCCCCACCGTGCCAGTGACAGTGCAGCAGACCATACAGGTGCCCCGGTGGGTCGGACCCTCTGGGCCTAGCTGTCCCCTTGGGACAGTCCTCACAGACCAGCTCCCAACCTGGAATGGGCACTGAGGCAAGGTCTGCACTGCTGGAGGAGGGCTGGGGTGGCACCTGGGCTGTCTGGGCGGAGACCCGAGCAGGAGAGAAGCCAGGTGGGACAGCTGCCCACCCCAACACTCAGCTGTGACCTGTCCTGTGTGGGCAGCCCTCTCCCAGGCTTTCCCCCCTCCAGGAACACTGCCCTTGCTGGCGGACTGGGTGCCGAGGCCCAGTTCCCTGGTGGGCAGAGCCCGTCAGACAGCAGGGTCTGATGTGGGGGAGGGGAACGCACCATCACCTGTGAGACTCGCAGAAGGCCCACCTGCTGGCATGGTGACCACCAGACACAACTTGTGTCCCCAAAATGGAGTTCTGTCACCTATGCCACCACAGAGGTCACCAGGTCCCGTCCAGTCAGCCACACGTCCCTTGGGCCCCGGCACCACACAGCACCTCAGGTGGGTCCCTCCCTGCCTTGGCTCCACTTCCCCAAACCCACATGGTCCCCTTTGTGTCTTCCTCAGCTCTGCCGCTTTCTCCCCTCCAGGGGGCACCTGCAACTTCCAGGGACACCCTCAGTTCTGCCACGTCCCCTCACACCAGGCTCACCCTCGCCCCCCTCCGTCTGTCACCTGCCCCCATCTAACTGGCTTCACCACCCTGGACCCCTCTCCAGGCCACCAACTGCCAGAGAGTTCCACTGGGGAAGAGAGGTCCCAGGTCCCCTCACCCACCAGCTGTGACCGAAGCTGGGAAAGCCGGAGGCAGGTGAGTTGGACGGCAGGGACTTGGTGGGTAGCCCTTCATGTCCATTCCCAGTCCTGGGCATGGCTGACCCTTCCCTGAGAGCCCTGTCACCACCTCCTCCCCTCCCCTGCTTCTGGATGAAGGGACTCTAGGCACAACGGGGCTCCCAAAACAGCCAGGGCCCACAGTCCCCTCCCTCCTCCCTCAGGGTCCTCCCGGGTCCTCCTGGGCTACCAAAGCCGAGCTCTGGTTTGGGCAGGAAGGTGCCTGCTGTTGGCCACTGAGCCCGCAGGATGAGGGCCGTGCAATGCTCCCTCCAGGACCTAGGCAGGTGCTGCCCGGGCTTGCCGGGTCTCCCACTCCTGCCGGTACCTCGATGGCGGGGACTGTGTTCTGGTGTCCCTGCAGGGGCCCAGCCCCATCAGTGACTCAACAAGAGTTTCAGAGCCCTCGCTGGTGGGTTCCCCTGCCAGCCCAGCAACAACGGCCCCGGTCCCAGCACCAGTCCTCGGGACCACAAGGTCCACAGGCGGCGGTAGACAGAGGCAGAGCCCACACTCTCCCCTGAGGTCTCCCTGCAGGAAGTCTGTCCCCCGCTGGAGTCAAGGGCAGGTCTGGAACACAGCAACTCTGCCCAGCACACACACACACACACACACACACACACAGGGCCCACATCCACGAAGATGACCCCTCAGAGAAGACAAGTGCTGTGGTGGACTCCCTGGCTACACCTCTACACTGTGGCCACCAGAACTCTGGGTCAGGTTGCCTTCTCAGTTCTGCACCCACCTTTCACAGCCACGGCTGCTAGTGGGAAGAACCTCCCAACTTAACCGTAGGGCAGTATAACCCTTGCAGTGGGGAGCAGAGAGACTAGCCCCTGCCCCCAGGGGCCGGCGGCACTGCACACAACCCACGCTGTCATCAGGTGCGTACAGAGGGTGTCTCGTGATGACATTTTATTGGTATGATAATTAGACCATTTCCCTGCCTCCTGCGCTAGGCTGCCCTGGGCCCTTCCTTCGCCAAGGATGTCACAGACTAGTTGTCCTTCCCTGGAAAGGTGCCTCTCCTGGACTCAGCTGAACCACAGCTGTCTGTGCTTCCTCCTCAAGCCCAGACACCAGCCCTGGGCCGGGCCCTGGGACTCAGCGAGAGGAGACAGATCCTAGCAGCCCAGACCCTTCCTGCCTCTGCTACATCACGGCTGCCGCCCTCCCCAGGAGCCCAGGCTGGCCCACTTTCTTCCCAGACACAACTGCCTAGCTCTGCGTCCTGTGGCCCTGGGGTGCTTGCAGAGGGACTCCTGGGCCCCCACTCTTGTGGGCAACCTCCTGCTATCCTCCATCCTTGGGCTCTGGGGAACTTTACAAAAAGGAAAGAAGTGGTCAGTGCCAATTAAACCTTTGGGCTACCAGAGATAGGCTGGTCCTGGGAGAAGAAAGAAAATGGCTGAGTCCCAGCCTCCCACAAAGAGGACTGTGTGAACGCGCCTGGCTGACCAGATGAGGGGGCTGGCCAAGCCCAACCAGGCCTGGAAAGTTAGCCAAATGCAAGGGGAGCTGTGCACACTGCTAGCCCAGGGTTGGGCCTTTCGGGGACCTAACCTGTCACGGGAAAGACAACCAAGACCAGCCAGAAAGTCCCCTCCTCTGTAGACTCTGGGTCTGCTCCAGGGGCCAGACCTGGATACTGATCCAGGCCCAGTAACAGTCACCCTCTTCCTCCCCTAGGGAGCACAGTGTCGCATACACGGAGGCCTGAGGTTGGGAGAAGAGGAAGGCGCTGTCCAGCTCTCTGACSGGTCCTTGCTCTCTCCCACCCCCTCCGCGAAAGGAGGTCCGGGACTGGCCAGTGGGGCTCTGGCGGCCAGGACGGCCGGGGTCGCGCGGCCGGGGCGCAGCTGCTCCAGCAGCACGCCTATTAGCGCGGCGCAGCAGACGGCAGATGGGCTCCCGCTCGGCCCCCTCCTCTCGCGGCACAATGGGCTYCAGCGCTCGGGTGCACAATGCGGCCCGGCCCGCGCACCTGCAGCGGGGCCGCCGGGCGCTGCCAGGCCGTGTTTTGCGCCCCACCGCGGTGCGCCCCGGGCCGTGCCGCGTGTCCTTGGGCCGCGCCCGGCCGACCGCAGCCGCTCGGCCTGCCGGGCTCCGCGGAGGGACCCAGGCGCAGGGCTGACGGGGGCGCACGAGCCGCCCATTGTTCGCGGCCGCCGGCCCGGGCCGGGCCTGCAGCATCACGACTAGGCAGCTTTCCCCGGCCCCGCCCKGCGGGTCCGCACGGCCTCCCCGGAGGTGCGCCCGCCCGCCAGCCCGCCTGACCCGCGTCCCGGGCCACTCGCGCCCCTAGATCGCCCGCGTCCTCTCGCGCCGCGCCCCGCACCCCCCGCCCGCCCGGCCCGCGCCCCCAGCGCCGGCGCGCACGCACCTGTCTGACCCTTGCCCAGCGTCTTCTCCAGCCGGTAGGGCCCCACATACTGCGCGTGCTGCGCCCCGCCGCCGTCCTTCCCCGTCGATGTCATCGCTCCCGGGCCCCGCGCCGGCGAGTGGGCGCCCGGGCGCGGGCAGGGAGGGGCCGGCCAGCCGTGCGTCCGCGTCCGCCGAGTGCCGTCCGCGCTGACCCGGCCGGCGGCGCCCCCGGGAGGGCCGCACTGCTTTGCGCCCCCGCCGCGCCCCGCCGCCCCCCGCGCTGCTCGCGCCGCTCGCGCCGCGCCCGTCTGAGGCCCGGCCGGGGTGATGCCTCCGCCTCGTCAAGACAGGGCGGGCGGGGGGAACCAGGCTTCCGCCGCCGCCGCCGCCGCCGCCGCCGCCGAGGCCCGCGCCCCGCGCCCCGCGCCCCCAGCGCACGCCCGTCCGCGGCCGCGCTGCCGAGCCGAGCCGAGCTGAGCCGCGCAGCCGAGCCGAGCCCAGCCGAGCAGCCGAGCCCAACCGAGCCACGCCGCCGAACTGAGCCTCTCTGCCGAGCCGAGCCGAGTAGCCGAGTCGAGCCGAGCAGAGCCGAGTCTGATCGAGTGCTGCGGGATGTAGTGACCACGGCTAATGGTGCCCGCAGCAGCCAATCAGAGTCACTGCCCAATCAGCGCCTGCACCAACTGCTCGCCCGCCTCGGCCTGGGCCGAGGGCTGCTGGAACAGTTAAGCTGAGGACCGGGCGGGGTTGGGGCGGGGACCGGGTGGAGCCAGGCCAGGCCAGGGCACCTCCAACCCGCCGCCCAGCCTCGCACTCTGGCTGTGCACAGACGGCCCTTAAGGCACAGCCCCGGATCGTGCTGGCAGCGGGCCCGTGGGGAGTGGGAGCAGGTGGCTGCTTTGGCTCGGGTTTCCGAAGGAGTTCCGCGCTCCTCGCCAGGGTCCTGCATGCAGAACAGATTTGCTGCAAGCCGGCAGGGATGTTGCGTGTAGGTTGAGTGCAGGGTTCTGCACTCGGTGGTCTTGCTGCAGGGACGCTGCAAGTAGATTGGGATGCTGCACATAGGCCAGGTTCTGAGCTCTGGTGGGGTTGCTGTACACGGCGGAAGTGCTGCATGCAGGTTGGGGTGCAGAGGCACCGCACTTAGTCCCGGGTTGTGTGTGGAGTGGGGTGTTGCATTCAAGTCAAGACTGCTGTACACTGCGATACCCAGCCCTGACCTTGCTCCTCCAGAGGCAGTGCCTGGAAGCTATCCTCACCGCGGCTCCTATTCACACAGGAATAAGGGGGCAGCAATTCCTGTGTAGCAGTGGTGACCAGGACCGCCAGGCCAAGGAGCTCACCCAGTGTCACACAGCAGCAAGCTGCACTTGAAGTCCCAGACTTTTGCTTTGAAGCTTTCTCTCTTCAGGTTGAGCTGTAGGCTGGAGTACGAGAGCATCTAAGTTCCAGAGAAGCCTGGGGAAGGCTTGTGGACAGCAGGCTGATCCAAAGAGGCAGCCAGACCTGAAGGGATTCTCTTCTTGCAGAAAAGCACTTGGGTTTCCTGAAGTACAGCAGAAGGTGGTAGGAGAGAACTGAGGGCAGGTTAGGGGTCCCTGGACCTGTGGACCTCCAGGGGAACTGCACTGACCACCATGGTGCCATTTACAGCACATTCCTGAGTGCTGACATTTTACCGGCAGATCTTTCTACTGCATGCCCTCTCTGCTGATGGCCAGCTGCCCACATGCTCCTGCCCACCCCTGGGGTTTACATTAGTGGACCTTGAAAGGCTCAGTTCTTCCCAGGGCTCCTTGGAGAGACCAGTGGATAGTAGAATACTCTGGGCTGTTCCATTTCCAGCCCAGAAAGAGAGGCCACCCTGAACAACTGTCCCCTGCACAGGCCTGTCCTGTCCATATCTTGCATGTCTTTGGAGGTTGTGGATTAAGTGTCATCAGGTGTCAAATGTTAGGTTCTCAGGATGAGCACTGGGCCCTTCCAGTGAGGGCAGTGGTGATTTTTAGGTGAATAATAAAGAGTGCATGGGACTTTGGACTGAAGAAATTGTCCAGCAGTGAGGTATGGCTGGAGGTAGACAGGTCATCCGGTGGAAGTGGCGGGAGTGCAGGAGACCAGGAGAGAATGTCGGTGATCCATAAACGGGGCAGTGGTCTTGGTGGTGGCCTCCCAGGAGGTCAGTAGCTTCCCCCTGCCAACGGGTGCTGTCGAAGTCACTTGGCTTCCTCAGCCTACAAACTCATTTTCTTGTGCTCTCAGCAGTATTTGGCCTGTTGAACATTCTCATCTGGTCACCAAAATTCTTTCCTTCCAGACCCCACTTCCTCCCCGTTCCTACCCCACCCCAGCTCCCTGGCTCCCTTCTCCCCACTTGGCCACTCCTCAGTTTTTTCTTTGCTTGTGCAGCCTGCACCCTAGTCTCCAGGACTCAGCTGGGGCTCTTCCTGCCCCTCTGTGTCTGCCTTAAGCCTTCAGCCTTGGTGTAAAGCCTGACCACAAGTCACCACTGCCAGCATTACCCAGGTCCAGGGCTGTGTGGAGTCAGCTCCCAACTGAACCTGTCCTGTTGTATCTGTTGCAAATTAACCCCTTCACAACAGACACTATGTCCTTGTCTGGAGCTGTGGAGCGGCAGCCTCGGGGGAGGCTGGAGCACAGGTATGTCGCAGCTGTGGGGACCCCTCCATGCCAGTGCGGACCTGAGGCAAACCAGACCAAGGCAAGCCAGGTGTGCCTGCCTATTGCAGCACAGCAGCCTGGCCCAGGTCAACGTGGATGCCCATGTGGCAGAGTAGTGCTGCTCTGAACCCCCAAGCCTCCACAACCGCAGGGCTTCAATCTCCCACTTTTGGAACAAAGGCAAGAAAACAGAAGTAGGGCCCACTTGAATGGGAGTTCTTACTCAAGGACTGACCAATAGTATTTGGACTTTTCCAAGCCCTCATTAGCATAAATTTGGACCAATAGTGTTGACCCCTAGGCTAGCCCATTCAAGGGGCAACCCCTGTGGGAGTCCCCTCATGCACCTGCAAGAATTCTGCTTCTATTCTTCACTCCTGAATAAATCCCACTCTTTCACTCTTGCCTTCCATTTCCCCATGAATTGCATTCTACAGATTCGTGATTCAACAACCCAGAAAGTTGGTGTGCGCTTCTGGGGTCTATTGCAACATTGTGGGGGGCACCATTTAGAGGGGCAGCACTGAGAAGCTGTAACACACCACTCCGTACTATTAGGGAAGAATTCAGCTAGGTCAGCTACAACCCTCAGAGCTGACACCAATTGGCATCCCTTGCTGTGATTAGCTGCTAAAAATAAAGGGGCTTTCTTGCCTGCAGAATCCTGTAGTTTACACAGACCCCACCCACCAGCAGAAGCATAGAATCCAATTTTATCTCAGACTCTGGTTTCAAAAGTATAACCTCTTGTGCACAGGCTCTGTCAGCCTGGCCCATGGGGTCCGGTTCAGAGATGCCTGGGAAGGAACATACTTGGGGGAGAGCAACTAAGAGGCACTTGTGACTGTGGATGCCACAGTTCTTGGTGGCTTTCTCAATCACCTTGTGGGGACAGGAGCCAGGAGGGGTCCAGTGCTACTGAGCAAGAAGACATGGACTGGTGTTCAAAATTGCTATGTCCCTTGAGGAAAGTCCTGATGAGAGACTCATTGGTGGGTCAACACTCCATCACACGAGCACTGTCAGAACACAGAATGGACAGAGACTTCCCCATGACATGAAACCTTTGTGCCAAAACCACACACGGCAGGACAAGAGAAGAACCCTGAAGTCCACAACCTCTATGAGCCTGCACACCCAAACCCTTAACAACACATCAGCACAGGATTCCAGCGTGATATGGAAAAAGTGCCCGTGACCCTGGGGAGCTCTTTCCAGGAGGGCTGAGGCAAGTCAGTTACTCTTCCAAAATCAATGGATGTAATTCACCTGTTAGCAAACTAGAACAGAAAAAGACACAGGATCATGTGTTGGGGTGGGGRGAGCTATCAGTGACAGTTGGACACAGTGGCACACACCTGTATACCTGGTGGTTCAGGAAGCTGGGTCAGGAGGATCACAAGTTCAAAGCCAGCCTCAGCAATTTAGAGAGGCCCAACACAGTTTAGTGAGACCCTGTTTCAAAATAGAAAATCTAAAAACAAAGGGCTGGGTATTTTTTTTTATAATTTATTATTTTTTAAAGAGAGAGAGAGAGAGAGAGAGAGAGAGAGAGAGAGAGAGAGAGAGAGAGAGAGAGAGAGAGAGAGAGAGAGAGAGAGAGAGAATTTTAATATTTATTTTTTAGTTTTTGGCGGACACAACCTCTTTGTTTGTATGTGGTACTGAGGATCAAACCCGGACTGCACGCATGCCAGGCGAGTGCGCTACCGCTTGAGCCACATCCCCAGCCCAGGGCTGGGTATTTGGCTCAGTGGTTAAATGCCCCTGGGTTCAATCCCTGGTACAAAAAGAAAAAAAAGGAAAAAGTCTCAGTGAACTTGGGATAGAAGCTGACAAAGAATGACTGCCCAGGACAACGTGAACCTCACAATGGTGAGAGGGGCTCTCCCCCCATCAGAAAGACGGGGAGAACGTGCACTGCACTGCTCCATTTGAACACGGACAGAGGACACAGCCAGTGTACTTGACAAGGAAAAGGTCCCAACCCTTGGAAGGGAAATGTTAAGTGATCTCTAATTGCATGTTTCATTATTGTCTGTAGAAAATGTTAAGCTACAAAGTGCTGTTAAAACTAATTAAGTGATTTTACCAAAGCCACAGAATAAAAAGGCCCCCAATCAATTCTATTCCTTTGTACTAACAATGGACAGTTAGCACTTKAAATTTTAAAACAGTGCCATTTACAAATAGAATTTTTACAACATTGAACACTTAGGGGCAGATTTAAGATACATGAGACTCAGAAAACTACAAAATACCACTGAGAGAGACATAACAAGACCTAATGAAGAGAGAGTTATACCATGTTCATGGATTACAAGACAATATTGTTAAACAGTTGTCTCCAAAATAATCTGTAGATCTCTCAGGTAAACCCCACCGCTAAGTTTGGTTCATGTCTTTTTTGTTTTATAAGCTGACAGGTTGATTCTAATTTATAAAGAAATTCAGAGGACCTAAAAAAGCCCACACCATCTTAAAGAAGAGCAGAGCTAGAAGGCTCACACTATCAGAGTTGAGTCCTATTATAATGCTAAAGCCATCAAGACAGTATGGATGGCCTAAAGACATCTGTAGATAGACCAAAGAATGAGATGAGAATCCAAAAATAAAGTCTTACACTTATGGCAATTGGTTTTCAACAAAGGTGCAAAGATAATCCCATGGAGAAAGGGTATTCATTCAACGAAAGTCACTGGAACAAATAGACATCCACATGAAAGGAAAGAACTTCCAACCTTACCTTGCAATATACGAATATTATTTTAACTAAATTAGCAAGTGTGTAAAAGTACCAAGTAGAAGTCAGCCTACATATAAGAGCT